TGAAGAACTAATTGACCCGCTGTAGGTGCATGTTTATTTTGCGTTTTTTTAGGACAAAAATAATATTTAAAAACACATCTATACAAATGATAAAAGTGTTAGAATTACAACCGCTAAAATTTTTTTATTTTATATCGCCATATTTTTATTTAAAACATATTCTTTTGTCTCGCTTTGTCCGCCATTACTAGCATAAAAAAATCTCCGGTCGGGCCGCAATGCATTATGGGATATGGTGGGCCGGGAAGGATTCATCAGACCAGTCCTTCGATTCGGGCCAAAGGAAGGACGCATTTGTCGGCCGCATCGGAGGAGTCTTCGGTTTTGGACGGCCTTCGTCGCGGCGCTGTGACGTATGCGGCCGACGAATTCGGCCTTCGGAGGACCCAGCCCACCATTTTGGACACAGCCATACATAGTGGTCCCGCGGCCCTCTGCGGCCCAAAGTTAAAAACTGTCGTTCTTTTGAGGCCCTCAAGGTGGCGCTCGTCGCCCACAGGTTAATAATCTCAGATCTAGACAAAGTCTTTGTTTTACTGCGGTTGCAAGGAAGTGTCAGACTTTGCAGTGAGTCGTTCACAGACTGCTGACTGATGTGTGAAGATGGAGAGCGAGCGCTCAGGCCGGCGTGTGCCCACAAAGCAGCGAGGAGTCCAGGGAAGGAGAGCTKTCGGCAATCTGCGTCACTTCTTTCAGTCTACGCAGAGCAACAGACTCTGTTTCCTGCTATTTGTGTGCTAACAAGTCCAGCCTACATTTTGCACACACTCCACTGCCACAAAGCAAACACATGCTGTTGAATGAGTGCAGATAAAAATCCCACAAACAGAATGTTTCTTTCTGCCGCTGTGTGCAGCCGCGTGGTGTCTGCACACACTAACACGGGAGTTAATAAAGCTGGACGATCTCTGAATGCCGAGTTCCAGCTGCTGCTTCAGTAAACAATCAGGAGGGACACACCATTCTAATCAGAGGATTTGGCTACAACTGATAAAGGTGCATGAGCACAAATAAATAACTAGAGAATTTACATTTCCTGTGAAAATGCCGTGTGAATCCTGAAAACGGATTTTTTTTTTCTGAATAGCTAAAAGAGTTAAAACTATTCAAAACAGCTTTAAAAAGTAACCGTAATAGCTGGGATTAACACAAAGTGACCATGTTTGTAAGAAGCTGAAATTATCACAAAAAAAATTATTTAGCTGAAAAAAAGCTCAAATTAGCTAAAATCAGAGAAAACAGCTGAAGTTTGCAAAAACAGCCAAAAAACAAAAATTGCAAAAACAAACTGAAAGAAGCAAAAAAAGTTGAAATTAGCAGAAGAATAGCAGAAAAGGTCAGAACGATCGCTAAAAAGAAGAAAAAGGATAAAAATCTGCTAAACAGAAGCTGAAATTAGCACACAGAAAATTAATGAAGAACCAGAACAAAATGTAAAAAGTACATTAAAGATTTATGAATGTTTTGAAGGGTTTTAAGGATATTGAAGACAAAATATGGCCAAAAAAGGCTAAATATCTCCAAAAGTATAAAMAGTCAGCAGGAATTTCCATTTAATATACAAATCAAACAAACAGCACAAACATTGCAGATAGAGATATGTGATGAAAAACATACAGAAAAAACATGATCTGAAAAGTGTGAATGTTTGTAAGCGTTCACACAGTTACTGCATTTGATTCGATTATCCTGACAAACCTGAAAGTAGTCGTTGTTTACACCCTGGAGTCTTAGGTTAAAGCTCACTGCAGAGTAAGAAATCCAACATAAAAAGGTCGTCCTGAACTATTTCAGATGGTTTGGTTTGAAACAGTTAACTTCTGTAGTTTTACAGATGGATTGATGTGTGTTTCTGAAGTTTGGATTCACGCTCGGCAATGTAAACAAAACACTTTTATTTGCTGATTTTATTCGACATATCTGAGTTTGAATACAAACAGATAAATAAGTACTGCATTGTTTCCTTCTTGATTTCTGTTTCACATTCCTGACAAACCTGAAAGCCTGGAAACTGCTGGACGTCTTGGCCTAAGCAGATCTCTCACTCACATCATATTTTCATTCAGCTCAGGTGTTTACTGTATGCAGGTCACAGGGTTCAGGTCCTGGTCCTCGAGGACCACTATCCTGCATGTTTCCTTGTTTCCCTTTTCCAGCACACCTGATTCGGTTATTTGAATGACATCTTCAAATTCCAAGTAGGTATGTCTGCAGACGAGTAGGTGTTTCCAAAGAAAGGCGTTTTTCAACTGACGCGCCTGATTGGACGAACAAAAAAAAGGTGTTTCTTAAACACACCACCTGATTGGATGATTGTTGCTTAGRCGTTTTTTTTTATATCATTAGCTTACTTTTCTAGCTTTGGACTTTCATATTTATTTATTTAGTTTATGAACTTGCTGTTGTTACTAAGGTAATTAGGAGACTTGGGAATAATAACAGCCAGCAGATCATGTTAGCTGCCGTTATCACGTTTATATGAAAATGATGCCAGAGTTGGACCGACATCTTATTTCATTATTTCCACTCCTCTTTACAAAGAGCTCATTGCATTTCAAAATAAGAGCAACATCAGTCTGTAGTGCTTTTTGAGACATTCAGAAATAAGGAGAACTAAATGTTTGTTTTTAATGATACATTTTGATTTCATAAAAAAAAATCAAAATCAATGTTGGTTGCTAAAATTAATGCGAAAACAGTTAAAGTCATAAGTGAAAGAAAAACGAAAGAGAAGAATCAACATTTTCGAAAAGCAGAGTAAATACAACTAGCCAATCAGAGTTTACGCTTGAGAAACGCCTACTTTGAGTTTGCAGAGATCCCCTTTCTCTCAAATTCTATAGAAGCTTGCCAATCATCCATTCAATCAAATCAGGTGTGTTGGAGCAGAGAGACCTCTAAAACAGGCAGGACAGAGACCCTATTTTTGAGGATTTAGTTTCTTACAACACATTTTTGAACCAGTCCTTATGAGGTTTTAATGAGCACCTTTAATCTCACAATGAAACACTTCACTCCTTTTCTGTTCAACAGATTTAAACGTTGGGACCCTGCTGTCTTTATTTAGCTGCTAAGAGTCTCTGTTTTCCATCAAAGTGAGACGTCCATTTATCCACCACCGACTGATCACGACATTCTGCTGCTGGTCTTTACAGATGTCCAACCCCTGATTCTGACCAGGAACGAGGAGGATTATTCTGCRGTGGAGGAGAAAGGAGTGATGATTCACTGTAAAGTCTTCAGCTCTCCTCCTTCCACGATCACATGGTGAGGGTGTGCAGCTCCTCTCTGACTCAACACACCAGCAGAGAGCAGCAGATCTCAGCTGGTTCACTCACACTGGAACCCTGTTGCTGAAAGTGTTTTCACTAACTTGCTGATTCCTAATTGCTGTCACAGTACAGTTTGATTGGTTTAGACTAGAATAAAGTAATAAAAAAAACACACAATAAATTTGCTTAGGTGGTTTGGTTGTTTCTTTAATCACCTGAAATATAATTACAGATGATAATGTTTTTGCCTGTGTCTGAATGTGTACAAGTCTCTGTTACCAAAATATCTCACAAACCACAGAATAGATGAACATCTGGAACTGATTAAGGTCRTATTCAGACCTGATAATTTGCTCCACTTTAAACGAACCAGAGTTCGTTTCCAGTGTTGGTCCGGACCTTTTGTGCAGGTGTGAATACACTCATGCGAACTCTGGTGCGGATCAAACAACCGGACYGAGACCTGCTTTTCGAGGTGGTCTTGGTTCACTGCCAAACAAACTCTGGTGCGGTTYGCTTCAGTTTGCTTCTGGTGTGAATACAGACCAGACTCTAACCGAACCAACTGCATTAAACATGCGCCTTTTTGGACATCACAGGCCATCGTTGCTGAGCTAAATAAACTGAAAACATACCTGTTTCATCGTCTCCTGTTAGCAGCTCTACTGCCGGCATGTTGTGGGTCAGAACATGCAGAGCACCTCGTCTCCTTTGGGTCTCGGGACACATTTACTGACGCCGCTCCAAAATTAGAATATCATCACGGAACCACCATTAAATTAGCTGCTTCTGACATTTTAAATGCTATTGCAGTTGTACTATCAGCAAAAATGTGTGCATCAGAACCGCAGCATGCAGGACTTCCTTGTTTTCTTCTGGATCTGTAGCTCAGTCCCGCCCCCGTCCTTTTTTTGTCCAATGGGAGCAATGATCGTCAGCCTCGTGGCTTTGTTTACAAGTTATAGTTCATTTGCAAAAAAGCACAATGTGAATGCAAACCGCACCAAACGAAAAAAAAATAAAGTCCATTTTTGGTCCGGACCAAACAATTGGACCAAAGGACTTTCCTGGTCTGAATACACCCTTACTTTGTTGTGAACCGGATTAGAGATGGCTGCCAGAACCACCTGACGCAAAAATGGTCTTAGTCGTGACTGAGGCATTTAATTTGAAATTATTTATTCCAGGAGCAAGAACGACTCTGAACCTGTCGAGGGTCCCAGGTTCATGGTCCACAATAACGGCTCTCTGGAGTTCTACAGCGTGGACAAAGGCGACRCGGGACAGTACAAGTGTTTGGCTGAAAACACGGAGGGGCAGGCCGCCATCTACGCCGTGCTTTACGTGAAAGGTAGACTTTCACATTCAAGAAGTTTTAGAGCAGCTCCTTCCAGCATAACTAACATCTCGGTTCTGTGGAAGATCCCACCAGAATAGTGGTGGCCCCAACGGACCAGCAGATCGTAAGAGGCACCACCGCCCAGCTCGCCTGCCTGGCAGAGTACGACAAGTCCTTCAGCGACGACTTTGAGCTCCTGTGGGAAAGAGAYGGTGCAGAGATTGTTTTCAACTATACGGAGAATTCAGGGTAGAAACTGGATTTCTGTTGTTTTTTTTTTCTCTTCAAACATTGCAGTCTCAGCTAAACAGAAGTTTTATTTTCAGTCAGGACAGTCGATACTGAGTCTCCATATCTCTGTCAACAGATACTTTCTAGAGAACGGTACTCTTCACATTGACAATGTGAGCTACAGGGACCAGGGTGTGTACACCTGTGTGGCCAAAACTCCAGTGGACCGAGCCGCAGCCTCAGCCCTGCTCATGGTGTTAGGTGAGTAAACATTTGAACACGCTTTCTTCYTCAGGCCCGAGGATCAGAAAACCCAAAGCGATATCTCTGTGTAACACGCTGGCGAAGGGATCAAAATGTCAGAATACACAGAGCATAGCTGTGTTTGAGCAGCAGAGCGTCTGCAAACCAGCCCTCCAACACATTGTTGACATCAAAAAGACACAAGCAGCAGCCAATACGGTGATTCGGCTCGTTCCACATCCTCTGACTCCTGGGATGATTTGATTGAACATTTGTTCTCTTGGCCTTTTCTCACTGCAGAGATAGATGGGTGTGTGTGTGTGTGTGTGTGTGTGTGTGTGTGTGTGTAATTTTCTAAAGCCGCTCATGTTTTTCAGATGTCCCTGATGCACCTGAGAACTTGGTCCTGTCTGACCGGAAAAGCAAAAGCGTGAAACTGAAATGGACCCCCGGGGATGATCACAACAGCTCGATCACAGGTACAATCAAACATGCATGCATGTAGGTGGGAACACATACAGTGGCACTGCGCAATTATAGAAAACAACAACAATTATCATTATTTTGGTCAATGTTGGAATCACAGTGATTGAAAATAATTACTCATTATGTTTAGAAAAAGATTGCATTTATTCTACACAAAGTAAATTGGCTTGAATGTGAATTTTATCTTAATACCTTCCTGTTGAACTTTTCTTTAAAATAAATGACAAAGAACATTCAAATATAAACTTTAAAATAATATACTTAAATAAATAAAATCCATACATACAGTACATCTCCAATATATTGTAGGACTTTACAAATCCTGTTTTTCACCCAAAACTTGGTTTTAGTTTTTATACCAATGATTTTTGCTGTAAACATTTAGCACCTAAACTGCTGTCCATAAAAAAGTCACACCTGGATTTAACTAAGCAAATAGGTACAAGCCTTTTATTGGATAATTACAATTATCTTTCAGCTGGCAACAAGTTATTTAACCCAACTGGTGCAATGAGTTGCTTCTCATTTCTTAAACAACCATGTGGAAAGACACATCCTGTGGTCATGGAAAATATGTCATTCTGTTTGAGAAGGGTCAGATCATTGGCATCAAGCAGAGAAAACATCTAAGGAGATTGTAGAGACTACTAACACTGGGTTAAGAACTGTCCTACACATTAAAAACTGAAAGGATAGTGAGGACCCATCATCTTCGAGGATGCTCCCATCAGGCAGTGCTATGATGTGTGGCTGCTGCAGTTGGTCAGCTCTAGGAAGTTTATTGAAACAATGCAGTGAATATCTGCGTAATCAAAGATAATGGTGGTCCAATGAAATATTAGTGTGACCTTTTTTTATAGTCAGTCAGTGTATGTCCTAGACCTGAGTCACACTACAAAAAAATCMGGCTGATTTTTGCCCTTCCGACAATCTTAAGAAAGTCCAGATTATCGTGATGGCTCTAAAGATAATCATAGCAGATATTCCCACAGTGGGTGGTGAGTTAAGAGTGATCTAGTCGGCACGGAAGGACATCGGGACCGCTCCGACCTCAAATGGGGGATATTCAACATGTTTGATTTTTTGGCCCGATATCGCAGTGTGTGTAGTGTTCACCCGAGCTCTCAGCCTGTTGACTGAGACGTGTAGCCAATCAGAAAGCGAGGTGACGTAAACACGGAGGGGATTCCAAAATACAGAAGAAGAAAAAAACCTTCATGACTCAGCAGAAAGTCTGCTGGATGTTAAAAGTCCTATGGAATTGTTTTTCCTCTGGTAAAAATAGTCCACAAACGATCCACATTGTTTCTTCCTTGTCGCAAATATTTATTTACTCTGAACTCATGTCTCTCTGGAGGTCACCTGAGACTTTTCCTCGGACGTATGAATTCTCATGAGATTTCAGGAAGTCTCGCGTGTTTTAATATCTGACATCTGAATGAAATATAATTTCGTGTGTGGTGTGTTGTCTCTTGCCATGTGGCTGTACACCACACACTGTAGGACCAAACCTGGTAAATTCATGATTTTTTTTATCCTCAGGTGTGGGCTCTGTCAGTCTTTGAAAATCGGCCGACTGCTTTAGAATCTTGTAGTGTGACCCAGGCCTTATCAGGTGGATTAATACAATTTCAATTATCAATTGAGGAAATAATCTATTTTAACAAAAGTACTAGTACAAAGTGTGCTTCCATTCAGAAGATTTAATGATTTGATGAAGTGCCAAAAAAACTGAGTACATTTAAAAATACAATCAACTTCAGCTGCTTCAGCACAAAGTTACCAGACTTCACTTGAGATAAAATTATGTTTTGAAAATATTTCACCTAACTGGAGACTTTATCTGCCTCACTAGGTTCCTTCTTTTCAGTTTGAAGGTTTGAGTCATCGCATTTTTGATCCTTTCTACAGACAAAACTTATGTGAAAGTTTGCTCAATTAGGAGGGAAGACAATGTAGTGTCCAAGAGTGGGGGGCCTCTTCTCAGGAATGCACAGATGTGTTATGCCTGTCTTAGTTTCTAGCTTCAGAGCTCGGCACATATTACCATTTTAAGAAGAAGGTATACCGTGACAAAATTTATGGTGCATCTGGACTACACTATAAAGAGCCTTGTACGCCCCTGCTCTTGGCCTTCGTCTTCATCTTCTTACTTGGTGAATCATTTGGCATTGAAGGCCACAATTTGGTTTTTTGGCTGTAATCTCCTGGACTGCAAAAATAAAGATTCTTGCTCTTCAACCAGCCTGTTTTCAGAGTCCTCTCTTCATTGAGCAACAGCAGTTCCACGTCATCCAGAAGACGTGGTATTTTCACCTCAACAAGATGAGCGTCTGCTCTTTATGTGGATTATGATGTTAGCATATACTGTTTTTGTGACTGTTTGGAGCCAGAATCAAAATTACTAATTCAATTAACAGTGATTATTACATCAGTACAGTGCGCAGTGATTGATATCACTGTGATACATTTTAAAGCATCATGCTGCATGTACAATACATTCATTTGATACCATCTTGTACAATTTAAATTCATTATTGATTCATCCAAGCATGAATTAAGTTGTCCTCCTGAGGAACACGTAGGCTAGGGGCAAGGTTTGATGAGTGTTCTGCACAGCTGGTTGTTAGATAAACAATGGCAGCAGCAAGAGACCACTCTGATTGTCTTTATGCTCATCAACAGAGTTCATTATCGAATATGAGGAGAACAAGTGGGAGCCAGGAAACTGGAAGGAGCTTCTCCGAGTACCGGGGAACCACAACTCAGCTGTCCTCAAACTCCACGGCCACATCGACTATCGCTTTCGAGTGTGTGGYGTGAACGCTGTAGGGGCGGGGCTACCCAGCGAACCCACAGAGAGATACAAAACCCCGCCGACAGGTCTGAAATGTTTCCCCTCAATGCTTGGAATACAGGTTTTTTCCCCCATTAGGTCCTTTTGGCCACTGGAACAGCCGACACCGTGGCTCTGTGAACTTTAAAACACTTGAAACTGCCACATAATTGAATCGGCTCTTGTTGAAAWTCTGCTCTCTTGTGCGTCTCTTTCTCTGGAGATTTCTTCCACTAACAATGCTGACAAAATCTATACTCCTTCCTTTGTACAGCCCCAGACAAAAACCCTGAAAATATCAAAATCGAARGTCATTTGCCACATGAAATGGATATCAACTGGGAGGTAAGAACTTGAGTCTGCTCTTTTATTATCCTGTTACTTCTAATTCTGCTGCTTGGCCTACCTTTTGCATAGTGAATTATTCACTTCCTCTATGGTTTCTGGCCGTCATAGAATTTCTCTCAGAGGACAGAAATGGAAGTTTTATCAATGTTTCATTTGCAATTGATAATAATTTTAGAGAAAGAAATTGTCCTCTTCTGATATTTCAATCTGAGGATCAGATGTTAAGAAAAGCCCTTTTTCTCTAGGATCACTGTGAATAAGTTCTTATTGAAAGCAGCTTCTTTTCTCTGATTAGAAGGCTGTGAAAAGAATATCCTTCTTTTTAACGTTCCCAGCCATCCATTTGCCTTTATTGTAGAAAGATGAATGTCTCCTTCACTTATTATCTGGTTGCCCTGTCATGGTAATGTAGCCCTGATTCACAGATTCATGAACTCTCCTGCTGTTAATGATTTGCTTTTGTAGATAATGGTATCTTATTCTATTTCTCACGGTCTGACTTCTGTGAGGAGATGAATCTTTTCATTTATGATGATTTAGCAAGCCCTAAATCAAATTAAAGTGTTGCTGCTAGACCAGGTCGTCTGTTCTGTTGTTTTATTAGACACCAGGATGAAACACTGCCTCTGTTCTCAGCTCACTGAGTGTGATTATTATATTAGTTGAAATGTGATGAACTGTATCAATGACACTTTCTTTTTTCCTACTTTTGTTGTCTTTTTTCCTCCAAACTTTCAGCCCCTGTTACCCATAGAGCACAATGGTCCCGGCCTGGAGTACAAAGTGAGTTACAGACGTCAGGACGTGGAGGAAGAATGGACAGAGCACACAGTGAAGAGACACTCRTTTCTGGTCAAGAATACTCCCACCTTTGTGCCGTACGAGATCAAAATCCAAGCCAAGAACAACCAGGGMTGGGGTCCCGAGCCCAGGATAGTGACTGGCTACTCAGGAGAGGACTGTGAGTTATTATGTTTTTTTTTTTCTTCTTCTTCTTACTTTGTGCTATTTTAACAATAAGAAATGGCCAAGACTTTTAATATTTGTACATTTTTTGGACTTTTTACAAATTTAGCTTTCGGCTACTGTTTTGCTCATTTTACCTTTTAGCAAAGGTTTTGGTCATTTAAACTTTTGGCTACTGCTTTCCAATTTAGCTTTTAGCATCAGTTCATTAATTGTGGCTTTTAGCTACTGTTTTGCTCATTTTAGTCTTAATTAGTCTATATTGCTCATTTTATCTTTCAGCTACTACAGTGTATTTTGTTTATTTTAGCTTAACGTGAATATAGCAAATTGTATCTTTTAGCTACTGTTTTACTCATTTGGCTTTTAGCAAGGGTTTGACTAATCTTAGCTACATTTTTGCTGATTTTATTTTTTATTTTTTTTATTTAATAATTTCATTAAAAACAAACACTATACACAATAGAAGGAAAGATATAAATGAAATAAAGGGCAGCAGAGAGAAGGAAAATATCTTATATCTTTTCTCAAGAATAAATTAAAACAAAAGCAATTTACAAAAAACAAAAACATTAAAAACCTTGGTGAACAACAATTCATATAGATAGATACACCCAATTCCATTTCATATTTCTTTGACAAACCAACTTTTGTCATTTTCTTAAACATAACTATTGATCTGGCATTTTCACATCACTCTCCAGATTATTCCATAATCTTATTCATTGGATTGAAGTACACCGTTCCTTCAAACTGCTTCTAAATTTAGGTTTGACAAACATCTCTGTCCCATTGAGTTTATAACAACTTTCTCTCTTAACAAAATTCAATTGTTTAAAGGCAATATGGTTTTGTGAACCCTATACATAACCTGTAAAATATTATAATCAACCAATTCATAGAATTTTAATCATTTCAATTGATAAAATAATATATTTGATGGGTTCTTTTGTTCTTTAATCATTTATGTGAGCTTTCCATGTCAGCTTTTCCTCAATAATGACACCCAAAAACTTCACCTCACTTAGCTTCTGCTCTACTTGYTTTGACATCAACAATTTATTTAGCAAATCTTCCTTCAGTAAAGTCATTCATCTTTATGTTTAAAGTTTGCATGTGCAGACGTTTTATACAGCAGTGGCTCAAATGGCCACATGTTGTGAAAAAGACACTCAAGCTGCAACCAACCATTTCAGCCGACTTGGCCTTAATCTGAGTAGCATTTTATTGCGTTTCACACAGTTTGTTTCTGATGTCACCATAGCTGCACTGTGCTGTAAATGCTCTAATGAATCAACAGTATCCCATCTGCTCAGCACCAAATGGTAACCGTAGCTCTGTTTAAGTAAATAATCAAATAAATAACTCAGTTATTTGGAACAGAAGATTGGACCCTGAAACAAATCTGAAAGAACACAAAATTTAAAACAGTCAGTCYCATCTAGTTATCACAATTTGCCAACATTTATTACTGTTACACAAGATTCATTGTTTTAAATTTAGTCTCCTGCGTGAAGAGCTGCGCAGATGGTCTGGACTGCTTCTAATAGGAAAAAATACATCAATCAAAGCAGCTTTACAATAAAAGATTTTTATTATTATWATTGGATACAAGATAATTTACAAAGATGAAGGAAAAGATGGAAAAAAAAATACTGTTTTGAAATTCACTGAGACAAACTGTTTCTGTTTTTCACAATCAAAGTACGGATGATCACAAGCTTTCCGCCCAACTCCAGCTGCCAGTTAGAGCTATGTTTTATTTTATTTTTTTAGGTTATGGAGTATTTGTTTGTATATTTTGTTATTTTGGTTTGCTTTAAACTAAAGCTTTATAGTGAGGTTTTTGTTTTTTATCATAATGTGAGCATTTGATCTGGTAGAGTATGACYAACTCATAATTATAGAATCATTGCACCAGGAGCTGAACATCCTGTTGACAGCTCCAGCTTTAAGTGGCCCTTTCATATCCTTTSCTGTCATCACTAAAAACACTTTGTGCGACTTCAACAGTTTGAAGTTTAGTTGCTTTTTAATGATGTGATCTGAGCATGTTTCAGCTCAGCTGTAGTGTCTTTAGAAATCAGAAGTTTACTGTATGTCCTTTGTTTAGCTTTCTTCTGGACATGYCCCCGGGATGTCACCTCAGGTTACACCACTTTTTCAGTGTTTTTGTTTTACGTAACTGTGGCGTTTCAAAACCTAGCGTTTATCCTCCAAAAGATTTTTTTTATTGAAATTTAGATTTGTAGACTATTAGAACAGTTTTAATAAATGTTCTTGTAAAAACGTGACTGCAGTTATTGTCTGCCGCTGAACGTCAAAGGCGATAACTTTTTGCCCTTGTSTGTATGTGTTTGAGTGACTGTCTGTTAGCAAAATATCTCCTGAACCACCTGACAGATGTGTAGTGAAGCTCTTAGAAAGTAAACATTGGCTGTATGTTAAAGCTCATCAACATTTGGCCTGTGTCCAAAACAGTGAGCCGGGTCCTCCGAAGGTCAAATTTATCGACTGCTTGCGTCACAGCGCCGCGATGAAGGCTGTGCAAATCCGAAGATTCCTCTGATGCAGCCGACAAATGCGTCCTTCCTTTGCCCCGAATTGAAGAACTGGTTCTCGGCCCAGCATATCCCATAATGCATTGCGGCCTGGCCGGAGATTTTTTTAATGCTAGCAATGGCGGACGAAGCGAGAGAAAAGAATATGTTTTAAAGAAAAATATGGCGGTGTAAAAATWAAAAATTTTAAGGGGTTGTAATTTTAATATCATTGTACAGACGTGTTTTTAAATAAAATTTTTGTCAGAAACAAAAACGAACTTATATACTGAAATAAACATGCACCACGGTTCATTAGTTCTTCAAGTTAATTTCATTGTTTTGTGATTATTAATAGCGCTAACAAACTGATATTTTTCTAGTTTTGATCTAATTTTGCTTCTGTTTAGCTTCGTCGTGTTTGCTAGGCGACTGGACATACGCCGGGGTAAGGATGGGAGGCTAGACCGTCCAAATTCACAGACACTTTTTTTCCAGTCTTCCCGGTCTACCAAGGACCCGGCCCACCTGGCAGGCTGGGTCCTTCGGAGGACTCATCCTGCCATTTTGGACTCAGCCGTTCACGTTGTTCAGGTCTTTGCGGTCTGCCAAGGACCCAGCCCACCTCAACCGTAATCTTTTCAAAACAAGAGTAATCTTTTCATGTAATCCTTTCAAAACGGTCCTCCGAAGGACCTGGCCTCCCATTTTTGACAGAACCTTGGAGTCTACCCAATTCAAGATGGCCACCACAGTTCATCGACTTAAACTGACACTAAAATAACTTAGTTTCACAGCTGAGCTAATTTTTGTGTGGTAGTACACGAGAGCTCTTCCCAAAACATACTTTATACAAAACCACATCTCACAGTATTACATGAGAATACACTGACATTTATATAGCTGGATCAAAATAGCTTCCTTTGCTTTTATAGCATAACTTTAGTTGACAGTTTGTTTTAGTTTGAATCACTGGCATGAAAGGTGGTGGGTGATATGCATTCTTTAAAGGAATTCCCCATTAGTCCATTGTAGTTGTGTTCTGGTTTGGTTGATAATTACTGTGGTATTTTTTAGGAAACCCATTTTCAGAATCAGTCAAACATCTCTTACTGATCCCATTGTGTTTGTTTGTTCAGTTCCCATCGCTGCACCTGATGATGTAGCCGTGGAGGTGATGAACAGCTCAGTAGTCAAGGTTACCTGGACACGAGTGCACAAGGACAAGCTGCGTGGACATCTGGGAGGCTACAGGGTAATACCTCACGAAACTTAGCTTTGCTTTTAGACACAGTTTAAAAAGAATGGCCCCGACCTTGGTCCGAACGTTTGCTTTTCTCACCCCAGTCTGTCTTCTCTATTGACCACCTCATTGTTTTCCTGCTCACACTGTCAAAAAAAAAAAAAAAACAATTCTGCAACAACTCCTTCAGTGTTCCACCTTGAGAAAAAAAACACACATATATAAAGTAAAACCACAATGAGTAGAATGTGTGTTTGTGTTCAGATAAACTGGTGGCGCCTGCGTAGTCTGGTGGACTCGAAGAAAAGCCATGGAGACAAACACACGCTGACTTTCCCTGGGGATCGAAGCCACGCCACGGTGCCAGGACTGACGCCCTTCTCCGAGTACAGCCTCATTGTCATGACCTTCAACGGGCGGGGCAACAGCCCAGGCAGCCATCCCGTGAACTTCAAAACCCCAGAGGGAGGTAGGACGGTGGAAAAACAGCAGCAAGTGTATTGATTCACAACTACTGAAGGGAGAATCTAATAATAGCCAAGAAAAAGTGGGTTGCTGCTTAATGTGTGTGTTTCTTTCTTTGCCCCTACAGTCCCTGAGGAAAATCCAGTTTTCAGGGTCACAGACGTACAGAGGCACTCAGTCTCTTTGGCCTGGGCCCCTCCATTGGAGCCTAATGGGATCCTCACCGGGTATCTCCTCGAGTACCAGCTCAGTACGTATCCTTGTGCTTTGTATTAATTTTTAATTATTTTAGAAAAAAGTACTGAAGAAGCCGACAAACTGCGTCCACGTGGCAGGAGCTTCTTATTATGTGCTGCAGTGTAGAGTCTACAATAGAGACACGCTCAAATCTCTGCTATGTTCAGGAAAAAAAAAAGAAGGTGTATCTTTGGCCTGCTGGGTATTGTCCGTGTCGTGATCCTCGACACAGAAAGAAAAATCATTGTGCTGCTCTAATAAGTCTGGTGTCAGGGTGTGAGGAGAGAAAATGAGTCAGAGTGAGCATATCAGCTTGCGTGTCACAATCATGTGCAGTGCTGGCTCAGGCCACTTTGTCACAGTCTGCTAAGGTCCGGTTTTATTGACCCAATTACGTCGGCCGTGGATATCTTCAGTGTAGCTTACAGCTCCTGGGGATACTCCTCCTACACACGCACACTCTATGCTGATCTAAGACAAAAGTCGTAACAAAGATAACAACTAACGTTAATAGTGTCTCGGTGCAATTTCTTCCAGCTAATTGAGTTTGATCTGGTCACCGCACAGGAGGGCCGAGCATCAGGCAGTGTTTCGGTGGAATACTTTTTTGGTGGGGCATAGCACTTAAGCTGTTGGGCTTTTTGAAGTGTGACTTTTTTTTAAGACTTTTTGCTGGAASTCATGTGTAAAATGTTGAAGATAAAGTAGCCAGCTGTTAGTAAATCATCAGCGACACAAGTGAAGTCCCAAGCTACAGCACAGCTGTTCGCAGCAGCCTTGCCTGTCTTCACATGAGCCTTCGATAGCGTCACGTCTATTGAAGTTGTTAGATCTGGTGTGACATATTTATATTTTATTCTGGTTATTTGCATCTTGCGGGTTTCTGCAGATTAATCAGAGCACAATATGAACATTTAAGACCACCTTGGTGTCTTTTATACTGCTCTGAACATCGATATTGCTCCAAGTGGGGGTTGAAAGTGACCTTGGCATCGTTTCATTCTGTGTTGCAAAATGTTGGCTTGTTGTATGCTACATGAGGCCAGCATTACTTGGCGCACTAGGCTGAAGAATATTTGGAACTGCTGTTATTTGTAGTGAGTGGAGGAGCCAAAGTCTGCTGCTTTCAGCCAGTTCACTCTATAAGATCGTGAGCACAAGCTGTCGGGCCTAAAGTGTTTCTGAAAAACTGAGAACATAATGCCTTGATGTGATGGAAACATCCCGTTTGTGATTTTCTGTCTGTCTCTTTATGTTGACTTGTCTTGTCAAGACAGAGAACCTCTAGTTACTTCTAATGCTAACACCTTATACTAGATACTGCAYAGAGTTACGGCTGCTCAATATATGGAAAATTTATCGTCATTGCGATAACAGACTGTGCATTAGGCAAATCGCAAAAAACTGCATAAACTGCAATAAATGGTTGGCATTTATGAGTTTTGTCACTCAGACAGAAGCTTGAAGTATTTCACCAATCAAATGGAACCCTTCATGTATTTGGCCAATTGGATGGGCTGCTTCATATTTTTTTAAAAATTCAAGCTGATATGAAAATGTTTTTTTTTGGTCTAAACCCAGAGCAGAAAGGGGGGGGGGGGCATTGGTGGGTCTGATGAATAGCCCTTCATCAGAGCTAAACAACAACAAAAAATCTGACGAAACTCCTATGTTGAATAGTTTTCGAGTTACAAGCGTTTTTGTAAGTCCAGACACCCCGTTTTCAGATGGAGCCCCCTCTTCAAATATGGGGTCTACTGTAAAACCGTTGGTTGACTCAGTGTAGGTCGGACACATCTACATTCCTACCAAGTTTCATGTTGATCGGTGCAGCCTTTCTGTGCTACAGTTGACCAAAATAAATAAATAAATAAATAAATAAATAAATAAAATAAATAAATAAACAGTATGAGAGTCATGTGGGTGTTATGATGATCTTCAGCTGTATAACTGCAGGTTATTGATCATACATACATTTTTCAACTTTTCAGTTACAAGTCGTAAAACTTGTAATTACGATATTACTCTAGAACATTGCAATGACAAAAKATGCTGCAAAAACCCCACACGTTCTGTCATTACAATGTTCACAACTCTCATTTTTCCTGATAAGGAGGGGAATGGGAGGGAGTGAACGAGACACAGAACAATTCATTCTTGTCAGTGTTTCTGTTTTTTTTTCCACAAGAAAAAAATAACGTGCCTCTTTCACAGCAAAGGTCACCTCAACACCTGCTGTTTTTGTTTTTGCTACAAATATAAATGCCACTTCCCTACCGACTGACCTGTTTTACGCAGTGAAAAATGAGATCCCGTCATGGCAGAGACAAAAGTCAAACTTGAACAACACAGATACTTTAGTTGTAAACTCGCAGGAGGCAACCTTCTTATTTAGCTGAATGATAATTGCTGCTTTTCATGTCTTACAACAACACAAAAGTTAAAGATGCACCTTTTTATCTGAAGCCTACAAAAGAAACTGTTCAGACTAAAATTGAAATGACTTGTTACTTCTAATTAGAAGGACTGAACTGAGCTTTATTGTTCAGTAGTTCCGTACAAAAATGTTCTTACTATATGTTTGTTTTGGTCATGGAAAATAGAAAACTAAGATTGAAAAGATGCTGATGATTTTCTGCTGATCAAACGGGGAGGAAAGGATTAAACAGGTTCCTTTTTGTACTTCTAACTTCAGTCAATGACACAGAAGAGGTGGGGCCCCTGCAGACTGTCGACATCAGCAAACCTGACACCACTGCGTGGGTCCTGCATGACCTGGAGCCTCTGAGCAAGTACAAGTTGTACCTGCGCTCCTGCACCACGATGGGCTGCGGGCCTCTTGTCACCGAGGAGTTCACCACCACCCTGGAAACAAGTGAGTGGCGGCTGGATCCAGAACACCAGTAAACCYGTATATCAGCTTAGATTTGTGAATACCAGAGAGCAACAGTTTCAGCATCACAAAAATGGCTTTGAGCTACTAGGGTCTGATAAAATCACAATCATAGGCTTTTCATCTCTCCATGTGCATAGGTTTTGTGGATAAACAGTGTCATTTGGCTTTCAGTGGAGGTTTTTGTCACTGCCATCAGTGAACAGAGTGCTTATTGATTGCACAGAGCATGAGAACCACAAAACCATCAGCTAAGAGAGAGCATGGCTTTGAGCACAAAGGAAAGATGCTGATACTAAAAGGGAGTAATCACAGAAGAGTTACTGTGTTAGACCTCATAACGAGCCAAACTGTAGGATGTAATCTTTTTAAATTTTAGCTGACTCACCACAACAACCTGGTTTCACTGGAATGTCTGTAAATAGATTGAAGGGGCTCATAAGGACGGCATAAATACCTGCGCTGTTTTTAATAAAAAGTCGCTGCCAGGAATTTTTTGGGTACATGGGCTCATTATGCAGAGATTACTCAGTGTTTACTGAATGAATCCTTGTAATCACAGAAAAAATATGTAATTAGCTTTCGGCAGTAGTTTATATTTAAGCTGAAAAGCTGGTGAAAAGGGCTGCAGGGAGAACAACTCACTTTTTTTTTGTAATTGCATGTAATTTAGTTGAGCTGCTCCCATGATGCAGTATTAGAGCCACTAAGAAACACACTGAGAAGGAAGAGTGTTTGTTTGTTTACCMGTCTTAACATTAATGCTGTATTGTCAAGCTGAAAACTGAAAACGTTTAAATGCTGTTTGCAGTAAAAAGTCACATTGTTGAGTTAAAAATTGTCTTTTCTCTTTCACCAGAGGAAATGAACCTCACTGTGCTCCTGAACCCAAATGTATTTTTTATTATTAATATGTCTCAGGGTTATGGCTTATGGTTGCTCTTTTATGAGTTAACTACAAAATAACATGCAGAGTTTTAGTTGAACGAATCTGAGGTTCAGTTTACTTCTCCTCCTAAAGCAGAACTCATAGAATTTCTTTGGATTTTTCACCTCAGACTATCTTAACATTTGGAGCTTATCAAGATACAGTATCTTACAAATTGTGTTCTTCAATAAAACCAATATGCCTGCCCAGATCACCTGACGTTTGAGTTTCAAACACCTAAATTGTAGAGTGCAGAGTATTAAACTGTACATTAAACTGGTTTTAAAAAATTGTTATTTTGGTAGGGATGCACCGATATGAAATATTCTGCCAATATTAATATTGTYGTTATGGCCGATAAAGGTATTTCCTAAGGATGTCCGATAACATCGGCCTGCAGATATTATCGGTCCGATATTAGCATAAAAATGTAAAATCTCTACATAACTATCGGTTTTTCTTTTGATAACAAAGGCTCGATAAATTTACGCTTGGATTTGACCAAAATGTGTTCATAAAAGCTTGTGGTCCAGAGACGTTCACCGACGCACGATTGATGACATCATCAAACGGGATTATCTCATGGAGAGCATGATCCAAACTATTGTTTGAGACAAAGTGTTAAAAATAAATATGGCACTTTTTCCATAACTTAAGTGAAATGGTTTTTAATTTTGTACAGACAATGTTTCTCTTTGGAATGCATCTAGWAGAGTATTACAGTAAAAGCAGGCAGAATGTCCCTGACATGATATGTGATGTCACCTTAATATTGGTTTGTAATATCGGTTAATATCGGAATCGGAAATCAAGTGTTGAATATTGGTATATCGAATATAGGCATAAAGTCAATATCGAGCATTTCTAATGTTTACAGATATTACAAAATTCACAAATTATTTATATACACACAAACACACTTGTGTCTTTTTTTGATACCATAATTTAAAAACAACCTGACCGATGACATGGCTCTTTACTTCAGTTATTCCTGGCTGTGCAGCGTCACTATGATGATCAAAGAGAGACCACTCGACCAACCATCTCCCCTCCCAAAACAGAAACACAAAGCTAAAAAGTGGGAAATCAATATCGGACATTAATATCGGCCCAGTTGTACTTATCGGACCGATACAGATGTTAATGCAGATATATTGTGCATCCCTATTATTTTGTAGTTAACGCCGCACACACAACACTCGGATATAATAATAAGAAATGTAGTAYAACCAGGAACACAGTGGGGTTCACCTCCAGTTTAATGTTGATAAACATTTCGGTCTGTGCATAAATCCATCAGTAAATGACTGGATCAGTTACATCACAGCTTGACAGATGAGCAAACTTACAAATTAAAAACAAATTAAAAACTACTGATAACCATTTGAAAGAGCATCACTTCAAAAAATGACCAAACTATGCATTTAACAATCCAACTGCAAAACCAAAGTAAAAAAAATAAAATAAAATAAAATTCCAGCTTGTTCTATTTATTTATTTTCCGGAGTGGTCCTAACACTGAGTTGTATTTCCATGTGTGCTGGAGAGAAATGAAACATCGGTGTATGAAAGCTGCGAGGAGCTTTCTGCCTTCAGTTTGTGTGCAGAGAGCATGTCAGTTTTATTTCTCCTAACAGTCCTCTTCCTGCGCTGTCATTCATCACTGAGTTGTACTTTTTGACTTTAGCTGTTCGTGTCATAAAGCTGTCTGTGATTGTGCACGTGTGTTTATCCATGCAACACTTTTTCTTTCTGCCTTATTTTTTCCTTTCATTGTTTTTCTGCAGCTTCTTCTCTGGCTCCCACTGTTGGTCTCAGTATGTAGATTATTCTTTAAGCAGAAAAAGCCATGTCACACCAACACGTGTTTTAAYGTGGTGCACTTTGTTGGTATGACATGCTCTGTGTTTTTGGATTGCTTTAGATAAAACRTGCATGTTTTAGATTTATCAGTGTGGACAGCTGTGCATGCTATAGCCCTGAGTGTCAAACAACTGGACACGTTTTATTTGTGCCTCCCAAATTACAGCTCCTCAGCTGATAATTAACCCCATCCACTGTTTGCTCTCGCCATCAGCAGAGAGCACTCGGTGCCTCCTTTCATTAAGGAAGTGTCAACTTCTTCACAGTAAAAGTTTGGATTCCTCTCTAATAGCATTGGTAATAAGTAAGCTCATTATAAATTCAAATTAATCTTGGCTCATTAGTGCCTGTAAACGAATGTTGACTTTTATTCAAGCAACAGCAGATGCAAAGCTGCACGTATTCTTTAAGAACCAAACAGGGAGGATCAGTAGATATTTAAAGGGATCCCCGATTAGCTGTAACATTAAACTTTATTTGATATACATTTATTTTAACTGTAAAATAA